AAAAAAAAAAAAAAAAAGATAGGACTCTAAGCTAGGGCGGGCACTGTGGCTCATGCCTGTAATCCCAGTACTTTGGGAGGCTAAGGCAGGAGGACTGCCTGAGCCTAGGAGTTTGAGATGAGCCTGGGCAGCATAGAGAGATCTGGTTTCCACAAAAAATTTAAATAATAGCCAGGTGTGGTGGCATGTGTCTGTAGGCGGAAGGATTGCCTGAGCCCAGGAGGTTGAGGCTGCGGTGAGCTATGATTGTGCCACTGTACTCCAGCCTTGGCAACAGAGTGAGAACCTCCACCTCCAAAACAAAAAAACTGAGGTGACAAGAGTGAGGACTAAGGCTCTTTGAGTTTTATTAAAATCTTTATTGCTGTAGTTACAATCTCTTTCTGTTTTAATCCTATTCTGAAGATCAAATCACATAGGTGTTTAGAGTAGAGAGGACAGAGAATCCTCTCATGACGTAAAGTGGACCCACCTCACTTGGCATTACTTCCTGTTCCTCCTTTAGTGAGCTCAAAATCTGGGTTTGCCTCTCATACACTGTCCTTAGAGTGGTGTATGTATTTAGGAGTTAGGGATAGCCCTGACTTACTAGTCATTACTTCTTCTTTCTTCCAGCCTGATGATCGTGGTACAATCAATGACATTTCTGTGCTGAGAGTGACCCGCCGGGGCATCCAGGCTGATCATTTCACACAGACACCCCTGGACCCTGGTAGCCAGGTCCTGGTCCGGGTGGACTGGGAGCGCAGATTTGACCACATGCAGCAGCATTCAGGCAAGTGGGGTGGGACGGAAGACAGACAGGAGGGACATTTGCCACGTATGGGGATGCCAGTGGTGATTGAGATGTGGTTTGGGTCAAACACAGCAGGAGATGAGCAGTGGGCTAGCGAACGAGTGAAGCTTCATCTGTATTTACAGCTGCTCCCAATCACTTGTATTACCTCCTGAGCTCCACCTCTTGTCAGATCAGTGGCAGCATTAGTTTCTCACAGGAATGAGAACCCTGTTGTGAGCTACACGTGTGAAGGATCTCATGAAACCATTCCCCCCTACGCTATCCGTGGGAAAAAAATTGTTTTCCATGAAACACGTCCCTGATACCAAAAAGGTTGGGGACTACTGCTCTAGGAGTGAACCTTTTAGAAAAGAGACTTTTTCAGAATTATTTATGATTCAGACAGGGTAAGCTACCACGCCCGGCTAATTTTTTTGATTTATTGTAGAGATGAAGTCTCGCCTGCCCAGGCAAGTCTCGAACCCACAGGCTCAGGCAATCCACTCACCTCAGCCTCCCAAAGCCGCGGGATTATAGGCTGAGCCACCAAGCCCGACTGCTAAATGTTACAAAAGCAACATGAACAGTCAGGGCACGGTGATTCAATCCTGTTATTCTCAGCACTTTGGGAGGCCAAGGTGAGAGGATTGCCTGAATCTATGGGTTCGAGACCAACCCGGGCAACTTGGCGAGACCTCATCTCTACAATAAATAAAAAATTTAGCTAGGCGTGGTGGTGCATGCTTGTAGTTCCGGCTACTTGGAAGACTGAGGCAGAAGGATTGCCTGAGCCCAGCAGGTCGTCACTGGGGTGGCTGTGAGCATACCACTGCACTCCAGCCTGGGTGATGGAGTGATACTCCAACTCAGGAAAAAAAAAAAAGCAACATGAACAATTAAGGTTCAAAAAAAAGTATTAGAATAACTGCTGGTTTTAGGCATTACCAGCTTCCCACTTTATGTCTTCATCTGGATGTCTCAGGCTTTTCAGACTGAAACTGTCCAAAATGAAATGAAAATCTCCTATCCTGCCTGGTCTTTCCTTAGCATCCTGTGTGCTTATTGTGGGGCATCAGCATAAACCCAGTTACTCAAAATCTATAACTCATTCCAGGTACCTCTTTGGGGCTAACCAGCCAGTCACTGAACCCTGTCGATTTATTTTCTAAGTATCTCTTCACGTCTTCCCACTGTCACCACAGTCATCCCAATTCCCGCTCTCCCTGCCTTCCCCCCATATCTCTGTAACAGTTTCCTGGCCGATCGCCCCACGTTCAGTCTTGTTCCTCTATAGCCTGTTCTCCGCACAGCAGCCAGAACAGTCTTTTTTTTTTGAGTTGGAGTCTCACTTTGTCACCCAGGTGGCACACTCACCACCACACCAATGTTGACCTGCTGGGCTCTGGCAATCCTGCCACCTCAGCCTTCCAAGTAGCCAGAACTACAAGTGTGTGCTGCCACGCCTGACTAATTTTTGATTGATTGATTTATTGATTTTTAAAAATTTTTTTTTTTTTTTTTGAGTTGGAGTCTCACTCCGTTGCCCTGACTGGAGTGCAGTGGCACCCTCCTGGCCACCGCAGCCTCTACTTGCTGGGCTCTGGCGATCCTTCTGCCTCAGCTTTCCAAGTAGCCAGAACTACAGGCGTACGCTATCACGCCTGACTGATTTTTTATTTATTGTAGAGGTGAGGTCTCGCCAACTAGCCTGGGCGGGTCTCGAACCTGCGGGCTCAGGCAGTCCACTCACCTTGGCCTCCCAAAGTGCTGGGATTACAGGCTGAGCCACCGAGTCCAGCCCTAATTTTTGATTTATTGTACAGACGAGGTCTCGCCAAGTTTCCCGGGCTGGTCTCGAACCCGCAGGCTTAGGCAGTCCACTCTCTTCGGCCTCCCAAAGTGCTGGGATTACAGGCTGAGCCATTGAACCCAACCCAGAACAGTCTTTTAAGCATTTAAAAAAATTTTTGTTTATTTTAAAGATGTGGGGTACAGGCCGGGCTCGGTGGCTCAATCTGTAATCCCAGCACTTTGGGGCGAGTGGATTGCCTGAGCCCGTGGGTTCGAGACCAGTCCAGGCAACTTGGCGAGACCTCGTCGCTACAATAAATCAAAAATGAGCCGGGCGTGGTAGTGTGTGCCTGTAGTTCCAGCTACTTGGAAGGCTGAGG